CTATGTTTCTCTAATCCCAGGCCTAAGTCAGAGGCAGCAAGTGAAAGACATTTTCTTCTTTCAGAAAGAAGCTATTGTATTCATATAATTACAATATGTTTTTGTGATGACTCTGTCTAGCAAAATTATGTGCATTTGCTAAGCACCTTGTACTGCTTGAAGTGTGGAGTTATTTTTGCTAGCATACATCCTGAAGTAAAGTTGTTATTGCCATCATACCGAAGCATTCAAACTGAAAGATTATTTCAGAAAGAGATTTATTTTAATGTGAAGTCCAGATCCTGCATTCCAGTCATGCCTCATGCTTACTGAAGCTAATGGGACTTAAGAAATTACACTTGAGGAACAGGCTTAAATAAGTCTTTCCTGCTACCAAACTGTGGCACATCATGATGCATATATATAGAAATAGGATCTTCCATCCACTTACTCAGACTTTAACTCAAATACTGTGTTCAGTTTCTAACTACTGATAAGCAATCACTTCTTTACTGTATAATAAAGCCAGTTCAGTAATAGTTTGCAACACACCCTCTATTGCAGCTGTTGCACAGGATAGAGGTCTGATGAATTCTGTCCAGAGGGATGATATAAAACCAAGAGCTTCAGCCCTGATGTCATCATTGTGGTCTTTCACTGGCTTCCTCGAGGCACATCTGCAAATGACACTGAGGAATACATCTTCTTCGTAGTAATGGAAGAACTATCTTTGAATGTCAAGAGACATCACTGTACAATCTGGAAATCCTAAGGTACATTCCAATAAACCTCTAGGTGGCCTCTGCAGCCTGATATTCATAAAGGACAAATTCCCTGTCATTCAGAAAACAATAACAACATCTGTCATAGGGCCCTACAAATAGGACTGAACTTGATTTAACTTCAGAGTTCTACTTTGAGCAGATGGTTGGACCAGCTGACCTCCAGAGGTCCCTTCCAACCCATTTAAATTATTCTATGATTCTATTCTGACCTTTTTAGCGAGTAAAATGGTTCAAATTCAAAAGCAAAGCAATTTCTCAGCTAACAAAGGGACCAATGAAAGTAAAGTAATAATCTAAAACAACCTTAGAAACACATTTGTGTTTCTTAAGTGGTCTGAGACTGCAAGAAATCCACACAAGTCTTTCCTTCTGTTTGTTGCTCTAATCTGTGGTGTGCTGTGATGCTACAGTGTTGGGGGGCAGTACAAAACTCTTATGTAGAGCCATCTTGGTTTTGGTCAGAATTAAAAAAAAAAAATCTCAGGTCTAAGTAGAATGGTAGGGCCACTGAATTCAGGAATACAACAAAAATTTCTGAGCAGCTATTACTACAGAAAATGAGTAACATTCTTACAAAGTGAAAGACTGCTGGTTTAGTAGTTGTTAAAGTTTTCATTACAGCTAAAAGACATTCTATATCAATATATCATACTGGTTTAAATGTCTTCATCTTAAAAAAATCCAAAATCTAAATAACGTATTTATTTCATCACCACTGCGACCATCTCTTGTTAGGACCATGAAGTCCATCACAGAAAGTACAAAAAAACTTGAAAATCAAACCAGACAAAGCAAAGATTGCTACAACCAATTGAAATTTTGCTTAATTTACAAATGTCCAACATATTCGAGCTTGAGACTCGTACTTCTTGAATTATTTTTTATGTCATGGAAACTCTTGCCATTACCAATATACTTATTTCACGTGGTTTCATGATTTTTTTAAAAATTTTTATTTGTTTTAAAGTCATACATCCTAATTTAGGACTATAGAATGGCTGTGTTGCTGTACCAAAAAAAGTGTTGTTTTTAAAAGCAAACTACAAAATCATGAGAACATTAGAGCAATTAACAGGGATTCCTGTTTTTACCCACCACGTATAAGACAAAGAGGTCAATTCCCTGTCAGGAAGGATTTGAACTCTGATTGCCTAACCGCAAAGAAAATAGCCTAGATGCTAGGCCATAGAGTAGGCTAAGGTAAATTCTCTTTCAGTATTTCCTATTATAGTTGCTGCACTCTTATACCTCCTACAACTCCCTCATAAAGGAGAAAGACGTGTGGGTGCAGTTCCAAACGCAGCTCCAGTAACTGCTGCCTTTTATAAAGACAAGACACAGCCAATATACTTCTCCTGCTGTGTTCCTTGCACGGTGAAAAAGACTTGCTCTGCAGTAAATTGTCACTAGTAAATTTACAGTCAGTACCTCATCCATATACTACATAACCTCCAAACTCCTGTAAGAGCTTATAGAAGCTGCTAGCTTCTCAGGAGGAGGTAACTGGCTATATTTCAGTTCCACATGAGGCAATGGTTCATGCTGAATTACTGCATATGCTGTCACTCAGAACACAGATATTTTCTTTTTAAAAAAGAAAAGAAAAAAGTGAGTGTGACAAACTGCCATATTCTGCCCCTCCTGACATACCTTTGCTATCACTGTTCGCTATGTGAGAAAAATGAAAGCGACTTCCACTGCATGGCTGGGGCATATACCTAAACACCCTAGTGCATGTGACAGAGCTTGCTCCCACCACATGACCAAAATGGACATCTGGGCGTCCCCCTTATATAACTGGATGTACACAGGTTCACACAAGATAAGTCAGCTGCACAGCCAGCAACTCAGGAACTCAACCTGGCACTAGGTGACAGTATGTAAATCCATGTCATTTCTAACAGATCTGTGCCATATCGTCTTTGAAGATCTCCAATTGTGGAGATTACACCACTTCCAAACACTGTTATTGCCAAGCTATAAAATATTCCCTGACTTCATTTAATCTTAATTACCTCTTGTCTCAGCCAGTATGAGAATGCCGACTACCTTATTTCTTTCCATAGGCATTTATAACTTTTACTACAAATATTATTTCCAGGTATGTAACACTGTGGGATTCAGCTCCAGATTTAGAAGTCAACATTTAAGTAACTATGTTGTAACATCTACTTATAAGCTTGATATTCAAGTTATCATCATAATTAGTTGACATCTAGTTCAAGAGATCTACTTTGGAACAAAATGAATATTGCTGTACTGGTCATGATTTTCCCTCCATTAACTATAACAGTGAATTTGGAAAACTACTTGTAAGGTGAATTTCACTAGGAGCGCTGGCATTTTGGTCATAGGACACATAATCTTTCTTCTGGAAACAGGCTGGCAGGAAAAGGGCTGTAGCTAGATCGATTGTTCCACTGGGCTGAATCTTGCCTGTAGACTGTGAGTTGTACAACCCGGCCTTACACTTGTGGGAGACATCATAGTCTCCTCATCTTTGAATCTTGTCCCTCAATTTTTTCAGTTCAAACTGCTCAGAATTGAACCTCAGCTCACAGAGAGATGTTAGGCATCTCTAAGCCCTCTATAAATGAGTTGTCTAGGCTCCCTTCTGTACTCAGTAAGGAAGAGAGGCATCTCCAGAGAATGATTCAGCTGCTGCGTGGGATGAATTGCTTCAGAAGTCACCTGCTTTTCTTTTTTGACTATAAAAGGAGTTGGACAAGAAGTTGACAGCTCACTTCCAGAAGGCTAAAGCTTAAGGGGATCGGTCCCAAGCTCAGAATATATAAATCTCACTTTGGATAACCAAAAGCATATTATTAGGTAAACTTAGTATTCACAATTAAAAATGCCTCAACATTTATTGACTTAAATTATTATAAACTTTAAATTATTCCAGCTTTCCATGAAATTAGGCAAAAATGAAATATAATGGGGAAAGCTAGAAAAAAGAAAACTAGCATAGCCAAGATAGGCACAAATATTTAAAATGTGTATGTAGTCAGGCTGAGCCAAAGCCTGCAGATTTTATGGAGGAATAATCATTTGATTTGAAAGTATTTGCTATAGCAGGGCTAGAAAGGTAACCATTCAAACAGGCAGGCACTTTTTAAGCAAAAGATACCGCTCACAATCTTCACCATCCTGTGTGACTTATTCTTATGTTATACAGCATAATTGAATGGTTATATAGCCTTTTCTTGTTCAGGGTGGTGCTGCATACAGCTAAACTCAAAAGAGCTTAAATATTTCTAAAATTCTTTGAAAAATTCCAGAAGCAAAGGTGATTATCCATTTTGTAGCCCTTCATTTCAAACACAAAAATTGAATGGATTTTATACATGTGCTACTGCTACATATATAGATTGCTCCAAGTTAAGACACTAACAGTGTTAGCACACTTTCAAATAACAGCATATGAACCTGTTATGGCTAAGCTGGAGCAATGTGTAACAACCTATATGCTCCTAGAGGGCAAGAAAGGAAAACCCCTTTTTTGATTTCTGAATCTGATTAGACACTTAAAATTTATGGCATTTTCCCTTAGGCTGGAAGACTTAAACACAAAATTGTTGTTAGATTTTTCCGAAAAACAGAAGGGTGCATGCAGCCTAGTAGAAAACCAACTTAAAAATTTTTCCAGTGGTTGTGGCCAACTATTCATCCTGTTGTAATTCAAGGTGACTGACAAAGTTTGGCATAAAGCCTATTGTGGCCTTAAGATGAGCCAGTATAACTCTATATTTTGTGGTTCAAACTACAGTTTAGTTTTCGTGACACCACTGCATGATCTCCATGCACTTCCATTTCCTGACTCATTTCTCAAGTGACAAGTCCAACAAGTGATACTGCAGTGGCATCAGCTGAAAATCCACCCTGGAACTGTACGTGCTTGAGATCCTCCAACCACACTCCAGGGAGACAACATTCATAGCCACAAAATCTCTGTTGAACATTCTGCTTCCTTCATTTCCCTATTTAAAACTTTAGAGAAGCAATTTCCACCAAAATAAAAATTATCTCAGCTCTGGGAAGATTCAGTATCCCAACATGACTGACTATTTTTGGATAGCTGATTCACGTCACTTCCCTCTGCCAGACATTTACACACCCATAATACGAAGAGGAGAGGCAATGTTTCACTCTAATATGAAGGTGAAGGGAAGGAAGGATGGGTGTAGGATTTAACTTTGAACGATTGTACAAGGTTCATTATATTGTATCAATGTTCTACAACTTTGAGGAAGTTGATGAGAGTTCCTCCTTAGAAAAAATAGTAAAATAAAAATTTGACAAACCTGTCTTCTTCCAGTAGACTTTGACCTGAAGTTGATTGTCCTGATAGAAAGGAGTTCCAATTTTAAGAAAACGAGTGGGTTTTCTTCTTTGAAATGTTGGGTAGGGATCTACCAGTCCTTTTTGGGGTTTTCCAGCAGAAGATGTCTGTTCCTCTGCAATACACAGAACAATCAGGAATTATTTATTTAAGTACAATGCCGTATAATGACTATGTTAACAGTGCTGAAATTCAGAAAATAATACTATCTTTAATCCAAACTATCTTATTTCTGTGTGTTACTTAAATGAAATTAATATAAAGAACAAACTGCCCATAATGGTTGAAAAGCATATAATTTGTTTGACATTCAGTCAAAAAAATATTTTGGACAGAGAGAGAAAAAGATAAATATATTTTAATATGAAAATGCTCTGTAAATTTTCAAAATAATAATAAGGAAAGGGAGCGTACTTATATCCCCAAGAACAAGAAATGTTAACACATCATTGACTTTTTAAACAGGCACAGTATCTAGCAGTAGTTCTGTATAATCATTCCTGGTCTTTATATTTGTGCAGTGTTTGAATATACACAAAACCCAAGGACGGCATTGACTGTAACCCAGAGAGTGCCATATGTGGTTATTACATCAAAGTAAATATAGTCCTTTGGTATGCCATATGAGAACACCCAGGTCAGATTAAAGATCTTTCTTGCCCGCTTTCCTGTTTCCAACAGTGAACAGTGAATGCTTAGGAAAACATTGTAAGAGCAGGATTAACTTTGAGCAATTCCCTTGGTGTTATGTGCCTAGCCTCCAACAAGCAATGGTAACGGGATGTCCTTCATCAAGCATTTCGTTTGGCAACAGTTCATCAGCATTTCGCAGAGCTGACAGTATTTCTAGATATTTTGAGTTGAAAAGGCAGTGATGCTGATTCAAACTGCATTTTCATTGCACACTTGCAAATACATCAGTTCTGATTAAGAGGACAGTATTTGCATCAGATTAACAAAAAAAGCTGTATTTAATTCAATAATACACCTAAGTGAAAAGTAAAGATTTAATAATTAGGAAGTGGCAAATTATTAACTACATACTTGAGAGAAAGGATTTGTAAGTAATAAATCAGATGTGACCTGCATCACATTCTGAAAAACACAATGTTTTGCAGAGGGAAAAGTGAAACAAAAATCTTCCTCTCCCAACACAAACCCATTGGTGATACACACCATGAGAGACAGACCATTAGGGAGACCATGCAGAGTTGATACAGCACTACCAGTGAAAGGGTTTCTCACAGTAAGTATAGAATGGTACCAAAACCGACATAGTCCAATCTTAATTACTCAGCTTCAGTTTAGAGGGTTTTTGTTATATAGAAAGTCTTTATTTACTATAATGTTTAAAGACTATGATGCTCTGACCTTATGCCAGGACTAGCAATAAAGCTTGACAAACATCAGTTGATTAATTATCCCTGCTCCCAAGAGGGGAAAGTTTATAAAGATATTCTCATAGTAAAATGAGACGAAACTAACAACTTGCCCAATGTCCCTTTGGCTAGGTGTGTATAATGGCACCTAGAATTTCATCCCAGTTACCAGCACACAGCTCAGCCTCAGACTCAGGTGAAATCCAGGCACCAGCCTTCTCCTGTGACCTGATGTAAAGTAAACTCAGTTACATGTTCTTTCTCAGAGCTGTGACGTAATCTGGTGAAATGCTACTCAAGATGATTGGACTGAAAACTAAACACCTTAAAGTTTAGCACTGAGATCCAGAACTTCACAGAAACTTCTAATCAGAAGAGACAAGAAGACCCGGGGAGGAGAGGGTGGTGTAAAAAAAAAAGGAAATTTTTGCCTGTTTATCTAGCAAAATGTGCTTTGCAGAAGGAAAAAAAAAAAAAAAGAAAAAAAGAGAAGAAAAACCGACAAAAAATTCTTAGGAAAATACTCAGCAAAATGAGAACATCTCTCGTAAACACCAATGATATGCTTCTAGTTGAGCTCAGTGTCTGAATGTACTGGAATTAAACACCCAGTTCCCACCGTAGTTTTTCTTCTATTACATCTCCTGTGTACATACAGAAAAGAAAGGAAAACTAAGTGTGGTAACTCAAGGAAGCTTTTGATATCATGCACAATCATGCAAGCTAGGTCACTTTTCTAGGGGATGTCAGAAAGCACAGGTGCAATCTAGGAGAGCCAATGTGGAAAGGGCAGAACTCATATTCACCTACATTGGGTTTCACTGAGGATTTAACCCAAACTTGCCTTGTATACACACTGTGGAGATTCAAGCTCATATTCTGGTATGGATTTCAAGCAAATACTCATTGTATTGAAGAGATGAAAACTTGGCCCTCTGCTGTCTCTTAAGATGGACCAAAAAGGCAGTAAAAGTGAGCTTAGCATGGGAAAAAGAATGAAGTTTAGGTCTATTTTATCTTCTTGGTACATTAAAATGGGAAGCAACTGTAGACATGAAGGTCTGTCATAGCTAACAACTACTTTAAAATATTTTATGTATATCCAAACTGAATATGCTTGCAGAAGGGTCCAGCAACAATAGCAATTGATTAGTTAGGGTGAGAGTAATTACAGTTATGTTATGAAAATGGCAACAAGTAAAGTTTAAACTTTGAGTGTACTTTAAAAAAAAGAATGTAAATGGATGGAAAATGAAATGGAGTCAGGACAAGATATTTAAAATTATATTCTTTAACATCTTATTATCAGAATTTTGCTGTATTGGTTAATCAGAGACACATCAGCAGTTGGGGCAGTAACTTGGTATTGTATTATAATTATACAAGTAGCATTTAACTAAGACTAAGAATCATGGTTTACTTTCAGATTCAGATATGCTTTTCAACTATATTACTTAGCATGTGAAGTTTTAAAGAAGATCTTAACAAGAAATAACCTGACATCTAAAGATCTCAAGATTCTAAGTTGAATGTGGGTCCTATGTGTGCAATAATTTCTTGAGAATTCATTGCTTGTCAGGCATGGAACATTTCAGATTCCCTAATAGAAGAGTTGATGTTTTGTATCAGTTCATAGTAGATACATATTTGTGTGATCCAAGAATCTGAATTAACGGGCTACTCAAAATAGTCAGGATTTTAAAGAGCATTGCAAGCTAAAACTGTCCAGTTAAGACAAAGACACAGAAACGGTTTTATTCCAGCCACTGACAAATATAGTAAGTATTTATACCTGTATTGCATTTAAAATATATTAACACCACAGTCATGCAAATGCTTCCATTTTCATTGCATTTGTTTATTTCAGGTGAGTAGGATCTAAGACAGAGAGGCAAAAACTGTCACTAATTTTTAGATAAGAAATTTAACATTAAAAGGTTACTCAACTTCGCCGAGACAGGATGACTATGATATTAAACAGAAAGCTTTAAGAAAATTATTTTTTTTAATTTGAGAAATCATTATGTAAAACATTCAAATTCCAGATAAAGAAGTGATAAAGTATTCAGGTGTTTGAATACAATTACTCACTATTATTCCTGGTGTCCTGAGTCGTGCTAAAATGGAGAGAAACCTTAGCACTTTTTAGGCGTATCTGACCCCAACGTGTTACTGCCTGCAGTTCTACGTTGTAGTTGCTGTTGGGTTGGAGTCCCTCCAGGACCACATAATTTTGGGCCTATAATAGAGGAGAATAAATATACAAAGTAGTTATAGTATTACTGAAACACAGGCCCTTATTAAAAGCAGGCCTGTTATCTTAGGCACGCTACTCTCCTGAAATTAGAAAAGAAAACTCATGTATAAATTTCAACAGAGCAAAATTTACTTTCTTTAAAAAATGTATTTTATTGGACCCTGCTTTCTGTGTCATTTTTAAAATACTAACCTTCTTGATGTTTCCATAATTTTGGCAATTACTTGGCAAATACAGACACCTGTTGTTTAGGTCAAAACTAAAGGGTTTTTTTTACATATAACAAGTTTTTTTCTTATGCCAAAATTATTTTAGCCAAAGAAATTTGAACTTTTTATTCCCCAATTTCTGTGTTGAAATTGAAATTTTGAAAACTTTTTCTAGAGACAGTCTGAAGACAGCTAAAATCCAACATTCAGTACATTTGTCAATATTTTCCATTTGTTTCAACTGCTGAAAACAAAAATGAAAAAAAAACCCAAACCCCACAAATTCTTACAATGCATTTATTAAGAGCACTGAGAATTAAGTTCAGCCTGTTATCTGTAGTTGATTTCTATTTTTATTAACTACTTTAAAATAATATGCAATCTGCTTAAGGATATCACAACAGATAGTTTTCCAGTAAAGCAATATTTGATACATCATTCAAGAAACTTACAGGAACTTGCTGCTATGGAAATGTGTCAGATATTTGGTACAGCAGCTTATTTAACGAGTTTTGGATTTGTTTTTTCCTTGGACCTATACTGACTTATTCTATATGATAGTGTCACAAGTTTTATTTGCATAGTGAAAGAACAATGTGACAGATGATGTTAGGCTTTTTAAATAAAACAAGCACTGTATCTTTAAGAAGCACTAATAAAACAAGCCTGAATTTAGAGGACAAAGAGCATTTAACTTTCTATTCCTGTCTCCTGCAAAATCTATTTTAAGGCAGAAGTCTACTTCTCTCCCTGAGTTCAGTGAAAGATAGAGACCGAGAGATCAAAATTGTTTATGGGGTTGGTGATACTAAAAATTAAGACCACTACTTTACCAGTTGCTGAAATCATTGCAATTTATCACATAGTTTATACTTATACTCTATTTTGTGTCAGAAATAAGCCATATTTCTGTCTCATTTACTATTTTCTTTCTCACCCCATTGGTAATCTTCCTTCTCTTTTTTTTAGCTGGGATTACATATTTGCTATATGTCCAGCTCCAGAAGACTTTGTAGTGGTGCACTGGGATATCAGGCTCTTCTGGAAGATCCCAAGTAATCATTACATTTACACTCCCATCATTGCTTGCACTGATATTGGCAATTCTGATATTAGATGGAGCTGGTGGAGCAGATGGATCTGGAATTTAAAACAAACAAAAAGATTCTAAAGTAAAGATCATCTTCAATAAGGTAAAGATCATCTTCATTTTATGTATTTATCAGGCATACATGAGCTGGATTAAACACTCTCAATACACTGAAGAAAATTCAGGCAAAAATTTCCTGTAAGTGATATGGCTTCTTGTAAATCCTAGAAATTCAAGTTCTACTGAAATAAAAACTATGGGTTAGCACCTAGTTTTGTCATTATTCTGTGCTGTTGATAGTTCACAAATATTACGAAGCTCTATCAAAATGTACTAGACTATCAGTTTTACTTCTGTCATTCACTACTTTAAACACATAGTGAGTGTAAAACATTTGTGTTCTACAAGTGGCCTTGTAGAGTCATCACAGAATTGTATGGTGGAAACACTGAATATTTCTTCGGTGTTGCCAGACAATTTTCAGATGATAAAATTATGTTTCTACACGTTGAATCTTTCTTCAAAATTCTAGCATTGATATTTACCACCGTAGGACATAAACACTTCCTTAGAATAAATATAATTAGGATGTAATGATATATTATGATGTCTATAAAAGTCTGTAAGGTTTTTTTAGAACAACAAAAAGCAATTAGCTACCCCTGTGATTTATTTCCCTATTCTAGTCTAATTTCTGGTCAATATCAACTGAGATATTATTCCTTCAGTTGTCTGTGTGCTCACCCTAGAGTCAAGAAGGACACCTGACAGTCAGAGGTTCCAATATTGAACGTTTTCCAATATTGAATGTTAGGTCCTCCTTGTGGACCTACTGTATAATATCCTGGCCCTGAGTAATGTGAATCAATGGAAATTTTGCAACTGAGCTTCTGAAAGTCCAATTTGCTATTTACTAACTCCTAGTTCTTAATCCTACTTTTTAACTCCTACTTTTTTTAAAACATAACGAAACTGCAAAAACAAAATTTAAGTAAAAGTAAATAGTGTGATTCAAAAAAAAAAAAGCTATCAAGCAGAATAAAGGAAATTCATAGTAATTAAGGCATGTTATGAACCTGTAGCCAAGAAAAAAAATTCTGATCAAAAAAAAACATTTTCATGTAACTTTTTAGCCAAATGAGCCACCACTTATTTGCCAGAAATAAAACTGGAGGTTTCCAGAGGGGACACCAGGCATTCATTTACTGCATGGTTCACCTGCATCTTTTTATAATGGTAAATGAGCTGTTAAATAAACTTTCCAGGCATACTAAGTTCATCAGATAATCCCTATGACAAACGGTCTCACTGAAAAATTCTATTTAGGTCATGCAAACTGACACATTCAGAATTAATAAAGACAGTGTTTCCTTTTTAAAGATCAGCAGATGTGAAATAATGGCTTATTCCTGTTATTTAACAGGACTCTTGGTTAAATAACAATGGATGCTCCTGTTTCCTCACACATGACATTTTAGTTAAATAGTAATGGATGCCCCTGTTTCCTCACACATGTAATTCAACCTAACTTTTGGCTATAAAAGTTACAAAGCATACTTGAGTTTAAGAATTCTGGAAATTTAACATAATTTTCAAAATAATGAGAATTCCTTATTTTTTCTTACTCGTTTTTTTAATCAGCCTGCAAGCCAGTTCCCTTTATTTTTTTCTGGCTTTGGAGAAGCACTGTCCTTACACTTATTTCCTTACCTGTGAAGTAGCCAACAACTCCATCTTAAAGTATACAAAGCTATTTATATTGGAGGGGATAAATTTAAGAGATTAATTTAGTTAAATGGTTTGTACTGTTCTCTAACACAACTTTTCATTTACTTCTATAGTTTAATAAAATAAGTAGATATAAAATGAAATTTAGGTACAATAAATAGAAACAGAATCATGATTCATAAACCCCAAATCCTTCATCTTCACTGATTTAAAATGTCAGGGGTTTTTTTATGTTATATGACAATGTATTATGGCAATAAAACATTTATAAACTGAAGTGCAACATGATTATATTACTGTAGGTGAATTATTCAGGTTATTTCCCAGAAGTACTATGCATCATGTATTATGTATACATAACATATTGGATAGAATTAAAATGTTTCAGAGAATGTCTTCACAAATGGTCAGATATAAGCAAAAACAATTCTAACCATAAAACATGTTTGTCTTCATTCTGCATCTATAAAAGACTCTGAGAGTCATTAAAAAAAATCTGAAAGTTAAATGAAATAGCTCTCTGGACAAAATGTATTACATAATTAAAAATATTTTAAAGTTCTATTCACCAATTTTTCACAGGTCTAAAAGCAAATGACCAAATTTACGTTCTTCCTTTTCAAATGTTTCTGTCCCTATAAGAATGCAAGATTGTGTGTAATTTTCCTTGTATAAAGTTAGCGATTGACCAGAACAGAGCTTTTATATGTCTCAGAATCACAGGAATTTGTTTTTCTTTTAACGTAACTTCAAACATCCCTATTTTTCCCGGTAACATAAGCAGAAAAAGAAAACAGTGAGAAAGAACTATGTGCATACTGAAACCAATAGATCATTTCTTCTGACTTCTATAGCACCAGCATTGCACCCCGTACTTTTTATAATTGCACAGTTTATTGAAAACATTACTTTATCAGTAGCATTTCTTCTGTGTTCACTAGAAACAGCCCAGTCAGCAGACAAAACGCTGATCCATATCTAAAGGAAAACCTAGTAGTGTTTGTCCTTTGCTATGGGAGAATGTAAACATTGTATTAAAAATCACTGGGTAACTACAATTAAGGAAAGAAAGAACATCCTCTTAAAGGGAATATACATGTGAAATAATACAGCAATAGCAGAAACATTTTCCTGAGTGCCCCCTTTCTTCAAAGTTTCTCTTTTGCAAGCCTCGCAAACATCATCCACAAAAATGCCTTTGAACAGGAGGAAGAGTGGTGGTGATAGCAGCAGAAGACAGAAAGGAAGGAGATCTGCAGTTGACAAACATGAAGAGGCGAGACATTTGAAAGTGCCATATTTTCTAGAAGAGCTTTTTTAAAACTAGTAGACTTAGCTGGAGAAAATAATAAACTAGAAGGACGTAAGATGTCAAAGATGAACAAAACTTAATTTATTACAGTTTTGCATTTAATAATCTGAAAAAACCCTGTCTGATTGTAGAAACACAACAGTAAAATATTTCTTGGATTTGGAGTGTATTACCTGAAATATGAAGCCAGTTAGCGAGCATTTCATACCAGCTGAGGATCCATTCCGTATTAAGTATTTCAATACAACTATATAATTCATTCATCTATTTCTATATACTTCTGTGACACTCATCACTATTACAACTGACAGAACTATTATTTTGTAAGCCAAAAAACCAAGAATATTAATCTTTTCTCTCATTTGAAAGGATTGACTTTCACCAGCAAAACAAATAGGTGAGAGGGAATAGCAGCAAGGCAAGATATTGTGATCTCTGTTATTAACAGGAAAAAACCCCAAACGACCCAAACCCTGCCCTCAAAACCCAAAAAAAACCCAACAAAAAAAAAAAAAAACAGACCTCTCCAAAGCCCCCTCGCAAAAAAAACAAACCCCCAAAAAACCCCAAACCCCAAAAAACTGTTAAGTATAAGAGCATGCTCCTTCATAACGCATGCCTGCCAGTTACCAGATAACAGATTAGTTGGGTTTTTCCGATTTTTTTAAGCTTCACTACTGCATTATTGAATGGAAAAGTCATGCTTCTACAAGGTGCTCTGTTATGCTTATGTCTATGCAGACATTAAAAGCAGTTTTTTGAAATAATTCAAGGTCTAATAACCGGTACTGGATTATAAAGATTACATACATAAGGTGTTTGTTAACCTGACAATGAAGCGAAACCGGCATTCTGCTGACTATAAAGCTAACAGCCATTCTACTGTTAGGCTTCATATATCTATGATCCCTTTGACTGACTGCCCACATTATACTGCCCACATGTATAATTCAGATACATGAACATTAAATTACTGGAATGGAAACTACTGCCAGTTTTTCAAATGTAAAGTTCTGAAATTTTATATACACGAATTTATCTGAGTGTTAAATCAAATTCTTTGGTTTCCAGAAAGAGTGATGCTAGTTGCAGCTTTTCCTTTGCAGTTTATACTACAACTCAAATAAAATAAAAGTCATTATATATATACTAGAATTTGGCACAGACAGCTGTCCTCAAATCCGAAAAAAAATCTGGTCTCAGCAGCCTGACAAGTAAATCACTTCTCGCTGCTAGAAATGATAGCTTCATTAGATCAAGGCTGAAGCTGCTGTTCCAGCACATGGAGTAAGTACTGCATTTGTCTGGATTGTATCTGGCTTGAGTATACCCAAAGGACTTAAATTCTTGTCTTTCTGGCTACTTAGCCATCACAAGCAAAACTCTGTCTCCAGTCCCCAAAAGGGAGGATTCCTTGCTGCAAATAAAAGAAAAAAAGAAAACCCTCACATCATCACCATTTCAAAATGCACATCTTCCCACACTCATATTTGTAAACATAGTGATAGACAATTTATATTTTACAAAATTCTTTCAATCAATAGGATCTGGAAGCATTTTGCAATCTTAACAAAACAGTATGGGCAAGCTATACACAAGAATCACATCATATGCTGCTGCAATGCATCCCCTTTGGCTTTAAATGTGGCAACTGTAATGAAAACAGTAAATGATTTGGAATATATCTCAGAGAAGAAAATAATGACGTTGGAACCGGAATTCTCATTCTGAGCTGTAAAAGTGATAGCAAGTTTGACTCTAATTTAAACCCTTTTTTATAGAGCTTTTTTTTCTGACTTAAAATGGATCTCCCATTGCTATCTTTTAAACATTAGACCTTCCAACTCTAAAAATCTGCTGAAGCTGCTCTACAGACAAGTTTCCAACCATTAAACAATTCCAAGGCATAAGTGGGGGGACTGGCTTTGCCCAATGGAAATGGCACACATAAACCAGCTGTGCAACAGTATAAAAAAATCATTGGTCCCAAAGGAGCAACAGAAAGAATTTTATTGCTGGGAGTGGGTGTCTGTTCTGGTTTTACTAACACTCAGTAATGTATGCATGAAATCACATCCAGCATGGTACTTATGTGCTGTGAAAACAATGTTGTCTGCTTCCTTTTGCTTGACAATTTATCCTGTGTATGCTAGCAACTGCCTTCATGTTGAAGACAAAAACCTTTAGCAGCGGTAGAAGGATCAGATGGTTTGGGCTCATTGTGTTCATCTTATAGCCTCTTTTCGTCTCGGAAAATGGCACAGTACCTAACTACAGACCAGCAAGATAATGCATTATAAGGAAATGCCTAACACTGATCCCTCTAGTTGACTGCAGTCTGTTACTAAGAGTTCATTCTCACCATAAATCATAAAAAGCTAGAAAAAAAATAGCCTAAAAACTTACCCAAATGCAACAAATTAAAAGTTGTATTACTAGTGCCGAGCAGCTTCTGGCCAGTTGGGTTAGGCTATCCAGTGCCAGCTTAATAGGAGAAAAGCGCAGGAAGCTTTTCATCCAAGAAGACTCATTCCTGGATTGCAGGAACAGTTCTCTCCTGCTTCCAGAGAAAATGAAGCAGCTTAGAGAGACCCAGTCAAAATATGAAGAGGAATATATTTGTACCTTTGGGGATCAAAAATGTTCTGCCAGGCATTCTGTTAGCTTTATTTATTGCTGTTATTGCAAATTGTTGCCACTCAGTTGAAGATCAAAAGGAAAGCACACACAATTTAAAAACCCTGAAAAGTGAAGTGAAAACCACTGTCAAAATAGCAGAAAGTTTTGAACAATTTTAGCTGACAGTATCAATCTGAAAATATATGTGAGAGTCCTACTTCTAGGAAAGAACCCACTCTCCTAGGTGCAGTATTCACTTCATTTTCTGGCCACTCTACTCCAAACAGATAGGCGTAGTATAATATGTGCTTCTTGTAATTTAGGAATCGCATTTTGGCAAAATGAAGCATCACTTCATTCCCTGTGAAGGGCCATGCCAGAGAAGCACATGAAACCCTTCATTTCCTTTATAAACAAGAAATAAACAGCATAAAAAAAAAAATCTCTGCTTAAGCTCTGAATATTTCATAAATTATCTCAGCTATGTCACTTTGATTATTTATTATTTACAGATTAATGACATAAATTAATACATGAGGCAGTGTAAAACAGCTAATAAAGCTTCACCTCAAATGTTTACAGTATAAGAGCATCAAAACCTGCAGTAGATAAAACCTCAAAACACAACTAGATGAAGAATGGGAAGCTGGAATGCTTGACAAAATACTCTTGTTTTCTTGTTTTTGTCTTTTTCATGACTGGGAAATTAAACTAATTTGGATAATAAGGAGCTTTATTTAGTGATAAAAAAGTTAATGGAAATTACATAGCTCAGAAGACAAAATTATTTTGAATAAAACAAAACCTTACTTTGCTGGGTCTACTTAGAGATCACATTTTTTGCATTTGCAAAAAACACAAAATAGTATAAAACAGTATTGTGGTAACCAGACAAAATTCTCTCTCCAAATAATTACAGCAGCAATGTTTTTGAATGTTCTTTTTAACTGCTTAAAATATTTAGTGACCGAGACTTTGTGGTGCCGTATTCCTCCCTAGATTCAGATTATATATCACTTTTGTCCTCCTTTAAAGAGAAACCAAACCCAAATAATTTGCTATTCTTTATAACTTATGAGCAATTGGTAAAAGTTCAGCATCTTGAGTGAGAAACTGTCCTAGGAATTGCTGTCATGTTTCTTGATCAAAGGTTTTCTTTTTGAAGAAAACTTCTGTTAAGTCCAACGAAGATAATAATCTTTTCTTGGTCTTGGCACAACAGGGTGAATTGTACAAGAACTAATGTGAATTTGTGTCCACACTTCACACAAACGTAGCACAGACAGTCAGCAACCTTCCAAAGGTGATGTGTCAAAGTCCGCTCTCCTTTTCCAAACAGGAGGTTAAATGTGCCTGTAGGAGCTCAGCAGGGCCCAGTAGATGCTGGCACTCAAAAAACTAGGCACATCTGAGCAGCAGTTTCTTGCCTCTCTGCCAGGCAGGGGCTGCCACTTCCCACTGAACTCCAAAATAGTAATTAAATGTCTATATGACACTGTAACTGTTACCACTATGAGCGCCTGCTCGGGGACATGGAGGCTAAGAGATACTGATTGAAGCATCCCAGTATCATTCCTGACAGTCAGCACCTAGCAGCGTCTTCATCTGTGTCACCTAGCGCTTCTACACATTTCACCTGGTGAATATGGTATCTTTATAATAACCACTGACAATACCAAAGCCTCTAAAACTGTCAAATGAGCTGCCAGAGTAGGATGATTTTGGCTATAAAGCTGATAGCTGACTGAACTCCTTGCTGTTTGTCTGGCAATTCACGATTCTCCGCCAAGGGCTGGAGTTTAGATTTGAAAACTGTTATTTTGAGGGTTATAGAAGCCTTTTGAACAACATTGGCTACATACTTTCTGCCATTATCAAGATCCCGTTACTTTGGTTTATTAGGTAAGAACACGCAGAGGTATTACTGGCTCCTGCTGTCCTTGTCACAAAGTCCTAAAAGTGCTCCCACCTCCACCAGACAGCCATGAGCAGCACTCAAGGAGAGCAAGTGCTTCAGGGGTAGCTGCAGAGACCACAGAAAAAGAGGACTCTGGTATCTAACATGTAATCATTTCAAAACCATAAGCTCCTGAAACACAAATCACTGCCAGCTGGGAGGCTATTCTGAAGAAATATCCCTATGTGCTTATCCTGCTCTTATCCTGTTCTCCAAAAATCTACTTTTGGCTGGGGTCAGATACTGAGCTAAAGAGACCTTCAGTATGACTTACCATGGATGTCCTTATACTCATTACCAGTGTAGGTATTTTGAACAATATACTCCTGTGGCTAGCACACTCAGTAGGAGATGAATTTTTTGGTAAGTAATACAAATCCTGCCTGAAAATGTCACGCTCAAGCCAAAACCTCAGTGATATCATGTTATACCTTTATGTAATTGCAGTTATAGTGGTTCCAAGTAGAATAGTTGGAAAATATTTACAAACTCAGTAAAACAACTGACAATGATCTGAGTTTAAAATAAAGTTGGTGCCAGATTCAGCAACACAGTGCTGTATCTGCTCAAGTGCTACTCATGAAGAAAAGCAAAGAGAAAGCTGCTGCTGCTGCTGAGTCCTTGCAGTAAGCTCAACACAGCTTGAAGGAACTGTGTGTTTGATGTGACTGCAATGATGTGCTACTTAAGCGTAATAAATTCTTAAAATAATACTCCTTTTATACTTGAAAAGGTTTGTGGTCACATCAGTAATGGGATAGCTATGCCAGCCAACCTTCCTACCACAAATGTGGTTATAGCAGCAAAAAATGATTGAGTCTAATGTACACTTATTCAGTAAGTAATTAAACCAGGACACATCCATACCAGCAAAAGCACTTGCATGCCTCTATAACTGCATCCAGAATAAGTTTTCTAGGACTGACTACGGCCAAACAGCAAGCTAAAAGCTAGCACCCATAGATGGCAACTGCCTGTATTGCAAGATAATTCTATCTGCAGAAAGAGGAGGAAATGCATTCCTCGAAGTATGCGTTATACCAGTGTAAAGATTCTGTCACTACTAAAACAAAGACAAGTCTTTCTATTAGAAACTACCTCTATTAGTACAGTGAAGAGGGATAGATCTCATTCTTTGGCACTAGTCAACTAGCACGGTCTGGCTATGCCCACATTATAGACTGCCTTTAAGAGAGGGTGACCACATCCAGACCTTCTGTCTGTCGGGAATAGTTTCTGGCCTGTGCTAACTCCTATGGTATACCTGAGAGTCAGCCTGGAAAATTCTGCTTCGCATGGGTCAAATGCACACCAGGGACAATGCCAGCAACTTCACAGGATGGGAGATCCGTTTCCATCTCCTCCATCCCTCAAGTACCATTTACTGGTACAGAAATAATTTTCAAAGTTATTTTATTACCCAAACCCTTGCAAAACCAGAAATGGCAGCAAAAAATCCTACAATACTTTGCGGATTGTCCGGCATGCCTTTCTAATGAACAGAACCATGCTACTTAGCATTTATACCCTTTTTATTCTTGAGCCCTTATGATTAGTGCTAGCAAGGGGAAGGTTATATTAAGAGAGCCCACGGTTCCATCAAAACAATACTGCTACAATTATTTAGATACAGGCAACAAAATATTTCAATATGGCAGCAACTTATTTCTCATAACTAAAAAGAAAAGAGAAACCTTTCAGAATAACACACAGTTCCTTCATGTTTCATGGTCAGGGTCATGTTGTTTGATACCAACCATGCAGAAAATGTTTCAAAGGAGGTTTATTCGTTGAGACCCCTGACTGATAAAAGAATAATGACATCTTTAACCTTTAATTCCTTTGCCGACTTCAAACAAATCTCATACCATTTCTAAAGCTGGTGGCAAAACTACCCAAAAACCCACCTGTTAAAAACCTTCTGCCACAAAAGTAGGCAGATCAGGTTGTGTTCCATGTGTGAGTGAGTGGAAGGTGAGCACCAGACACAGCGAATGAAAACTAACCTTTTGAGGATCGGAAGTGCTTGCTGGGCGCTGTGAAGCCTCTCGTCCCATGCACATTCACAGCTGCCACACGGAACTGGTACCATCTGCTCGCTCGGATGTCCAGCAGCCGAACCCGCTCATCTGTAGTCTGGCGGGGAAAATGTCACACTTACATTCGTTGTTCTGACACGGCTAGTTGTGCTATCATCTCCCATGCAACACCAGTTAGTCAGACTGAAGAGTAGGGGATGCACTTTAATACACACCAGCGTCAACAGGCTGTGTGCAACCACCTCACCTGACTCCGAGCATCATTCTGCACTGCAAAGCATTTACAGCTGTGAACAAAACTATATAACCACCCAATTTTACAGTGCATTGCAGGTCTCCTCTGGAAAAAAGTAACCTTTAGAAAACTGGTGAAGTGTTAAATTCACAAAATTAGTTTTCCAGTTATCACAACCTTCACCAGTGTATAGGGCCTGGCAGTTCAGGTGTTGTCGTTTCAGGGAACTCATTGCCCCAGGTCACAGGACTCATTACTCCAATTCTCAATTCTCAGAGAATTAGGGGTCCAAAATGGCTTCACAAAATCCAGCACTGTGAGAAGCCGCCTCTTCTGGTTCATAGGAAACACGAAACCCTCAGGTAATGAATGTAAGCCTTCTTCAGATCTTCGGCACTTATGTCAAAAAGACACTCACAGCCTTAACTCTTCCCTGCAAACCTTTCTCAGGTCATAGGAGATGACCTTTTCTCCCACAACACCCACCGAGACTGCTAGTGTCATGAGTTCAATTTCCACCTTCTGTGGGGAGTGCCTTAACCGCTGAAATACGAAATAAGCATAGATGCACTCTGAACCCTTTCAGTAGGAGGTGCTTTATGTGCTCTAATTCTGAGCCCTGCTTTCTTTTTTTTCCCTTTAAACTTCCAAACAGCTATCTTCTGCACTGTTTCTTATTTTTCACAAGGTATATACATCAGAACTGAACACAGCCTCCTGGTAACTCTTGAATCACTGCCAAGTAGAGAAGACGTAGCATTTTTGTAGAACTCATGAGAAACTCATCCACTTGTTGTGGATTTTACTTTTGCAATTATCTCTCAGTTATCCAGTTTTCATTTTATTTTAGGATGTCATGTTTACTGCATTTTAATTTAATTCTTTCATCAAAATAACGCATGAACCTAAACCAAATGTCCTGTATATGTCTAAATATACTATACAATCATTACTGATTATCATTACTGACCAAACATGCAAGCCCATTAAAAATGTAGTGACATCAATTTATTTTCGCAAGCTCTGTTTCCTATAACTTTAAAAATTCACCATCCTTCTATAGGATTCAGTGTTACTTGCAATGATGCCAAGCACTTCCCAAAAAAGGCACAGCATAATTTCTGCTTTTTGCTCTTTCCAATCTGTGTAAGAAAGTAGCAGCTGCTGACCTAACTCAGCCAGAACTTGAGGAAGTTGTTTCAGCTCTCCAGCAACGGTATTTTTAGAGCCCTGACCAATAAAATTTGTAGGTGTTATCCTGCACTTAATCTCTTCATTTGGTTAGGGAAACTGATACCTCGTTTGTGTGTGCACGTAAAGGAAAGAGAGCCTTTCTAAATTGCGCTGTAGACTGCTCTCTGCACTGGTAAGTGTTGCAGACTTTGAGCCACTCACATACTGCTACTAGAATCCTTCTCCATTCAGGCGGCTGTATTTGTCTTTCTAGCTTAAGCAGGGGTAGCAGTCCCAATGCTTTCATTGTCTGCCTCATCTTCTTTCCTTTTTTTTAGCTTTTGTGTTACCTGTAGAGTGAATTATCCTATCCAATGAAGGGGTTCCCCTAGGGAAGAAAAAGCCTACTGAACCAACTTTTACTATTATTTTCATTTTATGGAGCACTCAAATGTGCTAGTTTTTTCCAGCATGCAGGCCCACATACTCAAGAACTTACAGATAAGACACGACAGTGAACTAGAGTAAAATAAACTATCACTATATTAACAGAAAAAAATGCAAGGATATATTCAGGCGACTGCTGCAGCTGAGATCAGGGTCAGGATCAATATTTAATTGTAATTAACAACACTGTGGGTTTTTAAAAACAGATTTGCTGAATTTAGTTACAAGGCAAGCATAATCTGAATAGAGTTGACCCCAAATTCCTCAGCTAAGGAATCTTGTTTGTCATTTGCATCAGCTCAGTTATTCTGCTAGGACTGATTAAAAGAAAGGATTTCAGTTGTGTCAGTCTTCCTTACAGTGAAATACTGTAAGATCAAATAATCTGTCAATCCATATCACCAAAATTATTTTAATTTATGAACATGCCTTGGGCCTATTACTTTCATCATTCGTTTTGTTGGCAAAGCTCCTGTTAAACTCAATGGCATGCAGGAGGTGTAACTCCTGCATTACAGAGTATAAACTACTTTGGCACATCTAAGCAACCTTTACATAGATTTAATAAATTTCAAGAAAGAACCAAATATTACTGAGATATTTTATACTACCTTAATGGTAAATTGATTTTTTTTTCAATTGCCTCAGTTAGTTCTCACTACTTGGTATGTTTGGAGCTGAGATCGTAATATTCAGAGTCCTTTCAATATCTGTCTTATATTAATGTAAGCCCACTAAATGGTATGCTGAGTGGCACTACAGTAATCAATGGACTGTTTCACTGTGTTCGTTCCCTTTCTTTCACACTATCAATCCTGGATTCCTTTCTGTTGTGCAAAGGTTTAATGGAAATAGGAGAGGACAGCGTTACCCTGCTGAGTTCATAGCTCTACACCTTCTTTTGAAACAACGCACAGTGTTGGTATTCATTCTGTGTTCATTCAGAGAATGAAGGGATACCATCCAGGGTATCAGAAGAGCTGAGTTTATGTTTCCTTTGATACAGAAGAAACCTGACAGTGCTGCATCCACAATTCTATCAAAGGACAGCAGACCTTTCCTATTTTGAGTGATTGCAATCCCACACAAGGTGGGCACTCTCTAATAATGCTTACCAAAGCAAGCCCTCTCCTGGGAGATGGAGAAACAAACTTTTACTGTACAGAATTGGTGGTTAGCTCCAGCAGGGGTTTCTCGCTGTCAAAAGCTGAGAAACTTTTGTGATCGTCAGAACCAGAACTTTAGGTGTCTCAGAAACTTTAAGTCTTTAAAAAGATTAGTTGTCCACAGAGTTTAGACAATTCCAAGGTGAAGCACTAGGGTTTGTCACAATCAAGCTAGCAGTAAATACAGCTCCTTATTTGTTTTAATAAAGGAATAAATAAATAAGTAATCTTGATTATTGTCTGCCCATATGTATACATACATATATGTGTGTGTGTGTATATATACACACACACACACACTTGACATCCATTCACACAACACAGACGTGTTCTGTCTGAAAATAACTGACTTGGCATATTTGAACTAATTAACTTCATTAATTAACTTGATACGATTAACTATCTAAGTTTCCAATGGAAACAGTAATACTATTATTTTTAGAAAGCATTAGCACCAAACAGAATTATAAGTTTGTTCACAAGATATACAGTATTCTCATGGGATAGTGCAGCATGTCCTGCTCAACTGGTTAAACCTTAAAAAACAGTAGTGTAAGAAACTTGGCATAACCACTTAGGGCACTGCACATCATAGCTAACCAGGCTAACTAGTATCTCAGTTCCTGTAGTTTTTATATTAACCAATGGAAATTAGTCAAATGGTTAGTTATGTCAAGTTTTCCCAAAAATGTGCAATAAAAAAATAAACAAAATCCCTTCTTCCTGAAGTGAAAAATAACTAAAATTGTTCTCAATTTGTTTGCTTTCTTTATATACTTGGAGAGTTAAATAAATAATGTATTAATAGACTGAGCCTTCCTCCTTAAAAAGAAAACATCAAAAAACACCTGATGACACAATACAATACAACGGAAACAAACTTTTTCAAAATTATTTTTTCAATACCAAGTAAAAATTTATGTGAGACATGAGAAATTACTTGCAAATTAGCTTATATAAAGGCAATAGAAAACGGCAAGTTTTTTTTAAAAGTAAACACTTTAAAATAAAGTTATTGAAAATTATAACCCCATTTCTCAACCTGTTAGAGTGGGTCCAGAGGAGGGCCACAAAAATGATCAGGGGGTGGAACACCTCTTCTATGAAAAAAGGCTGAGAGAGTTGCGGTTGTTCAGCCTGGAGAAGAGAAGGCTCGGGGGGACCTTACTGCAGCCTTTCAGTACTTAAAGGGGGCTTCTAAGAAAGATGGGGACAAACTTTTTAGCAGGGCCTGTTGCAACAGGACAAGGGGGAATGGTTTTAAACTAAAAGAGGGTAGATTTAGACTAGATAGAAGGAAGAAATTTTTTACAATTAGGGTAGTGAAACACTGGAACAGGTTGCCCAGAGAGGTGGTAGATGCCCCATCCCTGGAAACATTCCAGGCCAGGTTGGACGGGGCTCTGAGCAACCTGATCTAGTTGAAGATGTCCCTGCCCATGGCAGGGGGGTTGGACTAGGTGACCTTTAAAGGTCCCCCCCGACCCAAACTATTCTATGATTCTATGATTCTTCTTGGACAGATAATAAAAATAGAATATTGGATGAGGAACTCTGATAAAATATTATGAAATTTCTTATAAGAAGATGCAAACAATAACTTTGCATAATTACACTACATATGGGCATAGGCATAGAGAAATTCAGATCCTCACCCATAGTCTTTCTGATCTTTGACTGCTTTTTACATGCTCTGTAGCTTAAGTCGCAGAGTAATGAAAGAGCCAGCATCATCTCCCCTGGACTGAGATGCCCCAGGAGTTCTCAGCCAAACGGCTGAGCTCTTCACAGCCTTTGCCTATAATTAAAGTCTCATAGTCCAGTGTTTTGCAATCATACAAGAAAAAAATCTCAGTTATACGGACAAGAAAAGCCCGGAGGCTGTGCACACAGTCACTTTAGTCAAATTGGATATCCATCCTTGTTGCTGATATTGCAAAATAAATTCTATTGCAAGCAGCCACACTTAACAAATTTGACTGCCTGGTGGGATGTCTAAAACTACAAACACCATAGAGCTACATTACTCTATAGAGACAGAAATTCTGATTACTAGCACCCCTCAAGGGGGCCCAGCCTGTATGTCCCATAAGGTATACACAGTTCACAAAGCCAGTCACGCATCCTGAAGCTTGTTCTGAACTGACATCCCCAGTGGCGTCCATCACACAATCAAACACGTGTCTCTTGTGATGCAGAAGGGACAGCGAAGTTCTCAGTAAGATGTCAGTTGGAGGAGGCTTCTCCTGCCACAGAGATTAACTCAGCGCCTTCTGCCCATGTGTAACAGACCCCAGGAAAGGCAGCTGTCAGGATTCTTATCACTTTTGCGCAGTAACACATTTCTGAAATGCTCTCTGCTGTACATCCACTGCAAGAAGGCAGAGGTTCGTATATGCTCCACTACTGTGGAGCATATACAGGGCATGCTTCCAGAAACGTGCATGAGGTCTGTTTCTGGGATGAGAAAAAGCACAGCATTCTGCTACCTTTGTAGTCTGGATCCACCAGCCAGAAGAGTTGGGCTTCTACAGTCTAGCACATATATATGGCACGATAACAGTGAGGAGTAATACAGATCTGGCTCATTTTTGCTACATGGTATTTTCGTAGTAGCAAAGGCAGGAGGCTGTTTGCTGAATACGGAGTGTGCAGATTGAAGACCTGCACCTCAGCTGAGAGATAATAAATAAGTCACTGCAACTTTATCAGGTTTGGAGGTGTGCACGTTCCCTTGGGCTTGCACAAGCAGGGTTTCATGCCAGGCTCTGCTCTGCTTTTTCTGAGCAAGACCCTAACATGGTGACAGCCCCCTGTAGCACCACACTGAAGCTAAGACCTTCACTTCTCAGTGCTCAGTTTCACAAGCTTGACATTATTTTAAGATCGCTTTTTCCTACACAATCTGAATTGAGAATGAACACAGATTGTCACAGAATTTAAACTCCTTACTTTATTTTGTGGATGGCTCTATTTATTCTCTCTTTCCTTTTTTTCCTAGCTATAACGACATTTTGCAGGTCTTTTCAAAATCAGCATTTTACTTTTCTTGTCAGCAGGGATGAGGGTGAAGCAGTTAAGATAAACGATTGGAACTCTGCCATCCAGGTGGACTGTCAGCATGTTAAAAAACAGATTGAAACTGGGAAGGAACTAAGTGAAAATTTATGCTCTGTTGGCTGCTTCTCGTTAAGAAACATTTGCTCATGAATCTTACATTTTCAGTCTGGATTGCACGGAGTGATAAGAGCATGACATCATAGTCTTTTCTGAATTGGGAGGGTAATATCTGAAAAAAACAACTTTACAAAGAATAAAGTTTTTAGTCTTTTTTTCACTCCTTGTTTTATTTTAAAAAATTAAATAGCCAGTTCACCAATTGTATTTCTTACCTTTTTTATAAGACCCAAGTCATACCTTGGAGACTGTGCACTGAGCCCCAATGACCTCAAAAGGACTATGTCTCTTATGTGCCCCCTTCAGTGGGTTTTGGTATCTAATTCTACATTTTTCAAGAGATTTGTGGCTTTCAGAGACTTTGGAATTCCCACCTGAATAGATCATAAGTATGTGCTTACAAGAAAGTGCCACTCACCGGCCTTATGAAAATCAAGCCTCCAGCTAGTTCTATAGATTTTTATCTATAGAGAGCAAACCCACAAAATAAACTCATTTTGAAAACATAAGCCTCTGAGTATTTTTTCTTTTGGGGACAAGGAAACCACTATTTACTTCTTTACTGATATATTCACACATTTTTTATGAAGTCATTTTCAATACATACCAAAAGTATTTGATGTTTCTATAACTGAAAAACTGGAAATGAAAACACTGAAGTTCATTTCTCCTGAGCAAATCTAGAAAACAGTTCATTGAGCAGTGAAGTAAGGCCTTGGAGATCTGGATTCTGTTTGAAGCTCTGTCGTGACCTGGAGAGAGACCCTATAAAGGGATCCCTCTGCATGAGCCTCCCCACCTGTAAGTGATCTAACTCTTCTCCAATCTGAAGAGGACCTTTAGATCATGGTCTGGAAGCTAGGGATCCATATCGCTTTACAAAGAACTGACCTGTGCTACAGTTTGCCAGCTAGTAGCATCATCCTCACTTGGATGGATTCCTTGATTCCACCTCCTCTGAACAACATAGATCACAGGCTCAATGGAAATATTGAATTTGGAAGACCACTTCACCTCCAGGTCTCCAGACTGAAGTTCTATGAATTTTAATTCTTTCCGGGGTTTCAGTGGAACACCTGTAATAGGAACGTGCAGACAAAACTATGTGAGTAATTTACAAGATGCGATTAAACCATATGTAGATGAAGCTGTGTAAAAAAAATAATTAAAATAAAAAGGACATTGTTGGTCAGACAGAAGGAAAAAAGAGGGAATGGATAGGCTGAGGAGCATGGGAGTTTCAGAAGTGCTCATAGCTGACTGATCTCTGCTAACAGTAAAACTTGTTTTTAAAAAAATCTTCAAAATTATTTCCTTATTTCATTTAAAAACTAAAGGATCTGAAAGTTGTAAGCTAAAACTGATCTCACAGAAAACACTTTCCAAATATGCTTTGATAACCTGGAGAAAGATCCCTTTGATCCCAAGCAGAATCAGCTATACCTGTTGTTCAGTTTTTCACCTAATTTGTCCTTAAACACATCTAATGACAGAATTTCCACAGCATCACATAGTAATCTGTTCCACTACTTCTCTATCCTTAACATTAGAAAGCTTTCTCACTATCTTGTTTAGTCTCCTCCACTGCATCTTAAACTTGATACTTGTCCATGATGTCCATGGATCGTGGAGAACAGATTCTTTCTTTCATTTATGGAGGCGTCTTTTATTGTACTGCAAGACTGTTATCATGCCTCTGAATGTTTTCTTCTTCAGTCAATAACCACAGCGCACTCCATTTTCCTTTTAAATCAGTGTTTCTAAGACCGCTGATCATTCTTGCAGTTGTCTCTGGAAACCTTCCTTTTGGCCCACAGCCCTTGTCCAGAGTCAAGGCTAAACTGGACACAGACTGTGTCTAAGCTCTTTCCAGCGTAGACTAGAGAAGCAGGACTATTTCACACATCTTACATTAGTCTGAAATACTTAAGAAAGCTGTTTGCCTTCCCCATGACAGCATGATCTCATTGACTGACATGCAGCTGTATTCTTTCCTAAAAATCTAGGAAAGTTAATTCCAAGGCATCTTGGAATAGATATGTTATATCTAATGCATATAGACCAATTGTTACATTTCAGAGACAAAGATGTCTTTCTAAAATTTTACAGTAATTTCTTATTACACAGTGACACTGAAGGACAGTTATTTCTGTTGTTTCTGCTGCTGGTAACATCACCTTTTTGAAAACATCTGCAGTAGCTTGAAGGAAGAAACAGCTCTTCAAATTTGGCATCTTCAGGATACGTCACAAATAAGGTTTCTATGCTGACATATGAACCTTCTTAGCAAGTTATCGTATGCACTTTCGTTATTTTGTCATTTCAGTGGGTGTCCACATTAAGGCTAGCTGTTATGTGTTGGTTGGATAAATTGTTTCCTACTTAGTCTGCCACAGATGACTGAGTGCCAAAATTTCCTTAGGTGAACAAACTGTTTTTCTATTTTAAGAGGTCTTCTCCTAAAGCTGATTATACAATTAGCTGTAAGTAAATAAAAACTGATATTGTAGCCCTTGAAGAAACCTAAAATCAACCTGAGGAAAATCCAGTACTTAAATCTGGTTTAAACCCTGGAAATCCTTCAGCAGCCAGCAGTCTTAGCCTAATACAACGAACATCACAGAACATGTCAGTTTGGATTTCCACATTTGAAAATCCTGCTTTAATTATGATGTACAATAATCCTACAATTTGCATGTTGAGAAAACTTCCATCTGCTTTGCATTAGGGGCAGTTGGATTCACTTGATTGCAAGTACCTCAGCCTCTCTGCTGTTAGGTAATTGCGTGCAGATGGAGTGCAGCAGCACAAACAACGAGAGCACAGCACAAGTGCATTTTAAAATACTTTTGTAGAACCAGCACCATCAATTTCATATCCAGATGTGTAGATCCAATCACTCTTCAATGTGCTTTTTATTATGTAAATGGTCAGCCCTTTCATCGTGATGGAACAAATTAGTCCTCTGAAGTCTGCAGTGCTTAACTGAAGAATTCAAATCACTGATTGCTGTATGTGTGCAATACTAGAGCCCAGGAAAAATGTTTCTAAAGGTGTCTTTCAGATGGCACATGCATCTCCATGCCATGAAAAATAAATGCACACTGGCCCATCGTAAGAATCTGTATCTTAAATGTCGGTTTCCCAGGAATTCAAAAAGTTTCCATGGAAGGTTTTTGAACAGTAAAGGGTACATTCATGGTGTCAGTACGATTGGAAACACTGTGGTTCAAAGACTCAGAGATGCGCACGTTTAAAACTGTACACTATTTTTTTAATACAAAACTATTTTTCTTTAAGCATGAAAAGAGCTTTAAACTGTGTATGACTATCTGGCTCCAGCCATCTTATTATGATATTGTCATACCGTCATACTCTTTAAATGACATAATCTTCTCTTTACAGTTTATCTTGCCCAGATCTGCAGTTTGGTCTGCTGTATGGACTGCTCCCTTACACGTTTCAGACAAAATTAGTTAGGCTGGTTTAGACAGCATGAACCCTAAATCTTTGTTAAAAAGGGGTCCTGGAAAGTTCACACAAGTAGGTGTATCATCACATCTGAGAGACCACTAACTTCTGAACAGGAAAAAGGCAATGGGTAATTTTTTCAGCTGTCACCAGCTGAGTGTAGAAAAAGATACATGTCCTTGTCCTTACTTGGGGATGCATACATGCATGGTAGACAAAGCAAACCTGATCAAGCATTTTCCATTCCTTTCTCTTCCTTCTTTTTTTTCTGCATTTTTAAATTGTTTTACTTCTAAGCAGAGATATTGTCCCCGTTTCTATCACTGAAGTACCAAACCTACTTTAGGCACTTAAGGTTATTTATAACATCATTATGTCCATATAAAAAAAAAAAATGAGGTAGGCCATGGAGAAGGGACACTTTCTGAAGTCCTTCACTAGTTGAGACAATGTAAAGAGGGTGGATGAGGCAGATGACAGAAGAGTAGGAGAGAACATTTGATAACTCCAGTAAAGGGAAATAGAAATGTGAAGACTATGTAACTGATTACTAATACTCCCAACAGAGATGAAAAAATGCAATGATAATGGACAGTTTGAAGATTATAGCGAAGCAAGCCAATAAACAACTAGGATAACAAGTAACTGGACTTGTTATGTTAATCCAACAACATTTGCAATGTATGACTTTGGTGCAAGTGTACTTACATTAATATTATTTTAGGAATGGGCTTTAGCACTTAGTACTAAAGGGCAAATCCAGTTTGTAAATCCAGCAAATCAGATGAGTATTTTATATCTGCTGTTGTAACTAATCTCCAGAGCTTGATCAACAGTGAAACTACAGGAACTTCTGCAGACTCTTAGATTCAATCTGAGTTCATTTTCTAGCTGTGAGTGCTGTCAAAATGATAAGAATAAGTACTAAACTTATTCACTGGATCTTAGTCATGCTTGCAGAGTTTACTCTTCCTTAGTGACAGCAAGGTCATTTACCCCTGGAGGAAATGAATAGCAAGCCTGTTCCGCTTCTATTTGTCCTCTGTTGCAGAAAGACAGGTTGAAGTGGCTAATTAGCTGAATTCATCAGCTGAGAAGGCAGTACAGTATTGGGCTTGCCCTTCCTCTGCAAGACATATATGCTCTTACAAGCAAGCACCTCCTGCAGATAGGTGATAAGATGTTAGAGAAGGTTAGTTCTGTTCCTGTATAATTAGGCTGAACAGCAGTAGACTTTCCAGTGTGCAGTTATACAATGTATCATATCCTGTCATATCCTGTGTCCTCTCCAAGAGCATGTCGTCTTATTTCATTGGTTTGTTTGCTTGCTTGCTTGTTTTGTTTTTACCTTTTCCAGCTGTTACTTTTACTGGAATGCTTTGTAGTTGTGGTATGGAGCCTGATCATGTAAACCATTACATACACAATACGAATGCCAGTTTATCACTCTGGTCATTTGTCTCAAGAAGATGAAAGAAATAACTAAGTGATCCATTTTAATAATTTTCATTTTGAAAGGTGCTTTGTATAAGAGTGTATTAATTCCTTATAGTTTTAAAGGGGCTGCTCTGAAGTATCTTGGAAGCAAGAGGATTTCCCTTCTGCGCTGGAAATCTGGATCACAGTATTGCCTGCTGTTCAAAATACTTTGAGTACTATCTTCATCAGTTTTATGTTTACTCAACCTCTATGACTTCTAGACCAAATTTTCTCCATTTATGTAAGTGAATAAGACAGTGCTTCCTGATGGCCCATCCTGTACACTCAAAGACAGGATTCAAAAGTCAAAGCACATTATTTCTGACATACGTTCTCATCACTAGGGACATTCAAAAAGATGCATCATGCATCAACCTTTCAGTTAAAGCAATGAACTTAAAAATAAAATCACCACCTCCTTCACGTATTTTATCATTTTTCCATCCACAGATGGAAGTAAGTCTGGATTCAGACATAAGGCCTGGAGCTTAGTTCATAGTTCTGCTGATTAAGCTCTCCACAGAGAGCCCATGCTATCAGAAGAATAACTGATTAATATTTATTTTTTATCTCTGAAGCAAGGAGAATGGATTTCTAACAAAACATTCTAACTCTGTGGAACAAGAAAATGCTCATTGTTCTGCGCTAGGAGCACATTTTCAGAATATTTCCATGTATAAAGCTTTTTTTAATTCCAAATTAAAATCTGGAGTTTGTCTAAGCAAATCATTTCATAGCCTTTATGATCTTGCCAATGGATGTCAAGGAAAACCTTTTTTCACAGAATCTCAGGACTCAAATCAAGTAAAATCTTTTGAATAAGATTGCCTTAGATTTAAATAATGAATTAATGTATATATGTGGATATTATAATCTTTCACTATTTTGTTCTTAGGTCATTAAGAACACCAATGCCAAATATATTGCATTGATTTGGTCTTTTACCAGATTATCTCACACTTCCTATTTGGTAGTCCCACCTGCTTGGCTTATAAACATAAATGTTATTTGTGATTAATAGGACTTGAACTATTTATTGTTAAATATTTTCTTGCTGCATTCTCTCTCATCTGCATCAAATTAAGTGAGATTTCACCTAAATTGGCAAGTTTGTTCTGCTTAAAATGATTCATAATAGCCACATGTTTACATTCCACAGATTTCCAGACATGGACTTCACAAGGGGAAAAAAATTCAGAAACTTGAGCAACATTTTTCTCTGGCTTTCCACCCTTTCAGTGTCCAGCCACGTCTCTACAGGCGCCTCTCCTTTTTCTTCCCATCCATACAAAGTCCTATGAAATGAAAGTCCTGGTTTTCTAGGAGACTTTATTATGGCCTGAAGTTATTAGCCCAGTACAAGTACATATTAATAATCTGTACCTTTGTACAGATTTTTTGGAACTTGGCACGTATGACCGCATCCATTGGAACAGCATTTCTTCACTCCAGAACATTCACTATCAGCTTCACAGCTTTCAACACAGGCTGCTGCAAAACCACTGGCCTTCTCAGGTGCTGGGCAGTCCCCTTGCTTCACAGACAGGATGTACTTAAGGAATTCACAGCTAGTTAGGCATTCATAATTCTTCTTAGGGAAAAGAGGCTAAAGGGAAAACAAAAGAATTGTATAAAGTTTTCAACAGGAACAAAAAAAAAAAAAAAAGAAAAAATGTTGTATGTTTTCCAAGACCTTCTAAAGGAAAATTCAGATTTTCAGCTTTTGCAAGACTATCCCTTTAGATTTATACATTCAAGCCACTTCTAAAAAAGCTTTCCAAGTACAGAATGATGAATTCCCTCAAGTAAGACCACCATCTTTAATAGAATAAAGTTGTTTATATCTGCCAGCTTTCCCTTGTTTTCCTCACATTGGCTGGCTACAAAGTTGCTCAATGATAGATTAAAAACATTCCCAAAACAAAGGGGAAGCAATGGTCAGACAGTCTTTTTTTTGGACTACCCCACATTCTTCCCTTTGTACTTCATAATAACTTTACCCACAATATCTGATGTAATGCCACTCTAGATAAATAAGTGAAGTCTTGTTTCATTACACTGTTTGAACTGAGTTGGCTAAGAAGATTTTGCAGCATCTTTATGTCCTTGCCAGCATATTAGTAATTGTATAACTCTTCATGGAACTGGAACTAAATTTCTGATAAAATGATCTACAGAAAACACAGATTAAAATAAGCATTAAATATATTGATTAAAGATCAAAGTAAATGCTGCTTCTTTGAGAAATCAAGTCCTAGATACATGAGAGGTTGCTTCAACGCATAGATAATTATATAGCATGTGTACTACTCAGAGGTTTGCAAGGTTCACTTAAAACTGTATTAAAAATAGCATCTAGCACCCTAGGGAGAACGTTGTGTGTGACATAGGGATTTCATCTCCTCTTTTATCTGGTGCTTTATTTAGTTTGGTGCAAAAACAGCTAAAGTGATTCCCTCCAAGTGATTGGTGGAACTGTAGATGGGCAACCCATGTAACCGGGGTTATCTATAGCCTGCCTTTCTCTCTCAGAGCAACCAAAAACCTTCCACTCTGACAGATCTGATTTACAGATTCCTAAGCCTACACAGGAATTATAATCCACTCTCCATCCAACTATTCATGTAACTTCTGCAACTTCCTTCCATATTCAAATGTTTTACTTTCTTATTTTTACTGTTGTCATATTTCTGGCAAAATGAGAGAGACTTCACTATTATGGAGGCCCAGGTGTTTCACTGACTACATACCAGTTTATTCTCCAAAGTCACTGTGGTCCAAGTATGTGCCACTACGTTACCTCTCCCATCGTGTCCTACAGAATGGTCCAGAACTTTTGAATCAGGCTTTTAAGGACACATTTGGATGTTATGGCTCAACCAGCCTAAAGGCTGCCAAAATGAGCAGTCCTTATATCTCCTACTAACCCTAGTGATCCTTGGACATACACTCCTGATGTTCCCCCCATTGGAATGCACCTGATCCCATGGCTAGCCAGTTAAGAAGCTAAACCAGCAGGAAACTGAACTTGTGGAAAAAAGGAGTCAGGTAAACTCTCTCCTTTTCTGCTTCACACGTAAGGTTCCTTTAACATTGGTATATTCATTCAGTAGATAAGAAGTAACATAGCAAGCAGGGACCTTGAGAAAAACAAAGCTAAATTGTTGCTTCCAGATTTTTTACAAAATACAAAAAGATTGAAAACACTCTCAAAGGGAAACAGCCTCATTTAATTCAACCAAACAATGTCCATGGAGCATACACGAGTCTGAGAGAAAGGAAAGTGGCCCCGTACTTTTGTGTGTGTGTGAAGCTAATTTCAAATCCTAAAACATCACAAATTTGCAGCTACTTAATTAAAAACTTTATAGCTCCCTGAGGCATAATACGTCCTCAAGGCTTCTCCTCCTCACCCTATTTCGCAGCTCATTTTTCAGTTAGCTGCTAAATGTGCTGCTCTTCATTACGGGCCTTTGAAGTTCTAAATTTAGCTTCAACCACAAAACACTAATCAAAGAGGGATGTTTAGTGTTTTTAACTACAATAGAACAGTGTTCTACAAATGTTTTCCTTTTAAACCAATTTTATACGTATTTTCACCCATATCTGGAAACATACAGCCTGAGTGAGAAGTGATATACGAGAATGACATAAATTAGATCCACTAAAACTGGTTTATTATACTACCCTAGAGTTTTGTATATGAGGAAGCAGCAATTAATCTGGGTTAAAGAACTCTTACAAGAACTGGTTTTCATAAGAAATTTTTACTTTGTCTTCTAATGTAATTACATTGATCAGTAATCCAGTAATCCCTATTTACACAGTTGGATCTAATTTTTTTGTTGTTGAAATTACAGCTTTTCCTAATCATCTTCATGACACTTAAAATCATTTAAACATAAGACATGCTCTTGTACCAGAAAAAGAGTACCAACAGTGATGAGGGAGGAGTTAAATCTGTATATCAGTGATATCAATATATCAATTAAGATCACTTCTATTTTTTTATAGGAAAAGCTGAAAATCTTCATAAACATACACATTCATAGACTTGAATAAAATTGTATCTTTATATTGATTTAGTTATAATAAAGCAACTTTCTATTGGGATGATATTTCAATTTTGTACTAAAAAACACTCAAGAACTGTAACAGCTGACTTCTACCAACTCAGCAGAGCCACGTTTTAAATCCAATAGAACCACCTCTTTTTTTGTACTAGTTTAACTCATCTAGGTTTGCTTATTCACAAACAGGTTATTCTGAAACACGATTCAGAAACAGTTTTCCGAAGACTTGTTCCTGAATAATTATGTATATTTGACAGTAGTCTTCTGAACTAGGAGTCCACAATCCAGTTACTCCTGGAGAGAGATTCTTTTAGAAATCAGATTGACTTTCACATACAGGAAAGCCATCTTTTCTAGCTACCTGCACAAGGATTTTCACACAATGACATTTTATTTTTTAAACAAAGGTACTCTTTCTTACATATGGCCAGAAAAGATAGAAGGGCATGTGGCAGAAATAGCATCTTACAAGAGGGATTTAACAGCACCTTCTGAGAGAAGCTATGTAAGTGTGGCTGGATCAAGCCTTAAAACTTCAAGTTGAGATAAATCATTTGGTCAGAAAAAAAAAAATCTTTTTTTTAAACTCAAACTTAGTATGGCTAGATTGTTACTTGTGTATCCATTCAAATGAAGGTGAATACTGTAAAAATCCCATGTTTGTTAGCTGTCTCCTTGAAGCTAATAATTTAAATGAAAGAGACAGCTAGAACAAAGTGAGAAAGAGTGCCCTTGGGCTGACGTACCTCACAGAAGCTTTGGCAATGGTTTTTCTTCAGGTCCCAGGACTCTTTGCAGGGCTCCAGGCACTAGGAAGAATCAGGAGGCAGAGAAGTGTCAGGAATAGAAAGAAATAAACAACCACAAATGACCCCATTTCTTCTCCAGTTGTTTGTTTGGCCCATAGGAAGTTAATAATAGGCTTTAAAAATCCACTTCTCCCGAGGATAAGATTGTGTCATTGAGTCATGGTGTCAGAGCAAGGTCATGCCAAGCCATGGTTAGATTACAAGAAATATTTTCAGTACTTCTTACTGTACAAGGCAATTGCCTCACTTGTTTATATGCCATCCTATTTTCTGTCTTATTGAATCTAGGTCCTAATACTGTTTCACATCGTGTCACTGGCTCACAGAGACAATGTCAAAAGCACTACTCTAAACTACAGAAAGTTAAATCTTCTCCAAGCTGACCAGCCTAAAGATTAGACGGGCACATGCCTTCCCATGCGAGAAACTATTTCATCAAGCTATGGAGTAAACTCAGCAGAGGTTTAACCACTATTCCTGTATAAATAGACAATGTTCACTGGTCTGTTAGCAAAACCACTTTATTTCAAGTACCATATTATCATTTCTTCACCTTCAATGTCTACTGCAATGGTTATACAGAGAGTTCAGATTCAAACTCTGCAAACCAGAGTCAAGCTTCACAGCATAGCATAAAGAAAAATCACACTATTAAGAGCATTTCAGCATGCAGCTGAAACATAAATTTAGACTCACATCCAGAAACCTTTTCTCTTCCTTTGTTAGACATATGATCTTGGAAAATACTGGCATTGTTGGGAGTTAATAACACCTATTCCTTCTGGTAATAGTGGAAAGATACTTATTGCACCAAAAATAAAGGCCTTTGACATGCAATTTAGTATTTATATAATTTGTTTCTCTTATACATAGTATTAGATTGGATCCGTATAAATTTATGCTATTCAAAAACAAGCATGAATACATATAGGCTGTATCTCAGCTGTCCACCTGTATCATTAATGTACTAAAAAAAATAGTGTTTTAAGCATTTTTCTTACTAGCAACAAAGCCTGAAAAATATAATAAAACTATTAGTCACAGAGGTTACATATTTCAGGAATGAAAAATAGCACTCAAACATTTTCTCTATATATATTTTGGTATTTTAGACTCAATTTCTAGCTCTTCAAAATTCACTGTATACAGAATAATTAGAAGGATACATTATAAAATGTCACTGAAGTCACTAAGTTTAATTAATTCCAGAGTGGTGTTCCTCCTGTGGCATAGCTACTGCACATTTGAGCCCAATTCCACTGTCATGCCAATTTTACAACTCTCCTAACTGTCTGATGGATTTAGCCCCAAATTACAGAGGTATAAATGGCGTAAAGACAAAATGGACAACATTTTGACCACACTGGGACTTTGTCAGTGATCCCCAAGGTTGTCAGGATTTCCATATCCTTGCCTTCTCTGAATTCTTGCTTCACTGCTGCACAGCCGCAGAGAGCGTATCTAAACCAGCACATCCACAATCTTGAGATGACAACTAGGCCAAGTTCATGCTGACTGGACCACCTTCCTTGCAGGCTCTAGGGCAAAACAGTTGGTACTCCTGGAAGGAAATACCAAGATGCTGTATGCTTCAGAGGGTTTGTTCAAGGCGTTTGCACTAGGATGTCTTTACCTGCAATGTAAGCAGGCTCCAGCACTTGATGCCTTGTCTGGCTGCCACTCTGTCTCAATAATCACTCAGGACAGCCCAGGCTACTTTCAGTTCAGCCCCAGCATCTCCTGCCATCAGGGCAGGCAGAGACGATGGGCATCTCAACTCAGACAGTTCAAAGGAAAGATGGACAAAATGAACCAGGACTGAGCAGTATCCTGTAATCCGACTGCTCTCAGAATACTCCAAGGAAAACAGATGATGTAGCAAGACATAAAACCTCCATCATAAGCTTTGTAGGCTCTGATTAGAGTACATGCTCTTATCTATACATAAACAAAAAAATCTTCCTACTCCCACTGTATGAGGAGGCCTCAGAGCCTAGCACCATATGGGCTACTGCAGAAGCCAATTGCCTAGCTTTAGTGGAGCTATGCTATTCCACAGGTTGGAGAAAAACTGCTAGCAGACAGAAATGTTGCCAATAACCTTGCACTAGAAGAGTTTGGGACTGTCCTTCTAAAAAGGTAGTTATTAAGCTTGCAATAACAAAGACGAGAACACCTCACAAACACTGAGGTTTGTGCATTTATCCTCTTAGCTACTCTGTTATGAGGTTCCCCTAGAGTGGGAAGCTGGAAAAGCTGGAAACTTGGATCCAGGTCTCACCTTTGAGTCCTTGACTTAAACTGTAAATCAGCTGAGATCTTGAGATCCCCCCCACTGTCTCGTGAGCTTTATCCTCTGAATGGCAATAATCTCAGGTAGAGACAAACCTTTTTTTCCCCATGAAGTCTCTCCCGATGTTTTTTATATGGAGAAGTAAACGTGTTCCAGATCCAACGTGTTATATACATGCTAGCTCTGAAGAAGGGCTATTGTGTACATAAATTTGTCTTTTTCCAGACATCTCAGCTTTCCAATAAACTCTCCGTCCTCATAAACTTTAGCCTGCCTGGTTCTGTTAAACTTTCTCATCCCGTTGTGTGGGATGACATGTGTCACTCTGAGCTGTAACTTTTATCTGCAAAGGGTTGTGGGTTTTTTCTCATCTTTGGCATGCTTTGCTATGAATGTGCATCAAGATGAGTCTACTGAAGAATACACATTTTGCAGTGCTCTGCACAGTACTGTAGTAAAACTTTTCTCCCTCCACTATGGATCTTCCCCATTTTTAGTCCATCTAGCCAAGGCAAGCACCAAGTTGAAAATTCTCTCAAGAAAAGGCAGAATCAGGCCTTACATTGTCAGCAGCTGAAGGTTTTCTGACAGGTATTGTTCCGTGCATAATAAAAATTAAAATCAAGAAAATGTGAGTCAGAACTAGTGGCAATAACATCTGTTTTCTTAAATCCAAATCTTCAGAGAATACAAAAAAAAGCATACATCTTAAAATTTGGATAATACATTTCTAATAATTTCAGTGCAACTCAGCAAAGGCCTGACGCAAATCTCCCCTAGACCAACAGGAGTTATTTCACTGGTGTTCAGCTTAGCCTTGATGTCTGAAAGGAAAGCATACAGCGTACAGCATTTCCAACCAATAAGAAGAGTTTCAAGGAAATACCTAAAACACCCATGAGAAAACTATTTCCACCCAGCAGGTAAACACATTCAGGTTTTCTGGATTAGTGTAAATGTGTATGCCTGTTAAAAGGATACTGAAATCCTCTATCCAGGATAAGGAGGAATCTAGGCCAAGCAGCAGCTGGCAGCTGGTTTTGGCTCTACTTTATGTAATAAAAAATACCTTGCAGACATTACCACCCACCCTCAGAAGCTAGGCTTAGGTATGTAGATGGCAGCCCACCAGCAGGCAGGAGGGCAGTTGTCCTGGTTTTGGCTGGGATAGAATTAAATTTCTTCCTAGTGCTGTGTTTTGGATTTAGTATGAGAAGAATGTTAATAACACACTGATGTTTTCAGTTGTTGCTAAGTACCCTGTCAAGGACAGCTTCCATGCTACCAAGCAGAGGCTGGGAGGAGGGAGCACAGCCAGGACAGCTAGCCCAGCTGGCCAACGGGGTATTCCATACCATGTGACGTCATGCTCAGTATATGAATGGTAGGCGTGATCCAGGAAGTACCGATCGCTACTTGGTTATCGCTCAGGGCGGGTGGTGAGCAATTGCATTGTGCATCACTCATTTTGTATATTCTATCATTATTATTATTCTTATTTTCCCTTTTCTGTTCTATTAAACTGTCTTTATCTCAACCCACGAGTTTTTCTCACTCTTACCCTTCCAATTCTCTCCCTGTCCCACTGGGGTGGGGGGAGAGTGAGCAAGCAGCTGCTTGGTATTTGGCTGCCTGCCAGGTTAAACCACAACAGCAGTGATGCCAGAAGTGTCCCGGCAGTCCGTTCATCAGATGTCACTGGTCCCTTGGAGCCACCGCTGATTGCTGCCCCAGCACCACCGTAAAGGTTGCTCTACTGCTGGGGTGGGAGGAGATATGAAACACAGTCATCACGGGCCGGTGGCACTCTTCAGAAGATGATGGGTGTTAATCACACCAGCCTTGCTAAATTGAATCTTCCTAAAGCACCTGTTTTATCATCTCCTGTGGTTAAACCTAGAAGTTGTAGGCTTGCTTTCTTCATCCAGGCTGCTGCAAAGTAGTTATTCAGTGCTAAAAAATTGCATCAAAAGCCAAAAGGAGTGCTAATATAAAGCACCCCAGCATTTGTCATCCTTCAAAATTTGTGTGGGGGGGTACCTACGTGCACACATATAGGTATAAATATATATATCAGATACTACTATAGATCTGTTAATATTTGGACTGTATAAAATTAGGAACAAGGGCAAAGTACTGTTTCATTCAAGAAAGAAGGATTACTATTGCTTTAAAATATTTTGGTTTATGTTTTTTTATTTATTTTTTTTTAAATTGGCAGTTAAGGGCCCAGTTAGAGAAGTCTTTTTTGTTCTAATTTTTAAACTATAAATAAAGCAATTTGAGATTAGCATATGATGCATGCCATTTACATTAGTTAGTAAAGGGGTTTTCAAAATAGTCCACCAACACTTTTGCTTAGGAAATGTTGCCTTTGACCTGAATGGGAGAGAGTTATACCAACACAGCAGTTTTGAAAGTCTAATGAATTGCAAAATATAATTTAAGTATTGAAAGAAATGTTTATTAAAATACTGTATATTTATTCAAATATTATATTTAAATTAAATAGCTGAATATGACATATTTATAACTATTTAAATAGCAAATAATTATTTCTTTCAGAGTAGAAGAGTCTATCCACAGTATTTTTGTCTAATAAGGCTTCTTCTTTCACCAGAGTGGAACCAAGTCATATGCAAACTGTTGTGAAAAGAATGGAATTAAAGAGTTATAGCTGGAATAGAATTATTCTTTTCATTATCAT